TACCCTACAACACTATGTTTTGGGGTTATTATAAGTTTGATTGGGCCAACAATTATGTAGCACCTCGAAATATTGGTTTCCCACATAGGAAAGTATATATGGATCTTCCTATCTCGCCGAGCTGAGTCGATCTAGCTATGTATGTCCGTCCGTCCGACTGTTCATGTTAATTTGTAATCACTCTACCGGTCGCAATTATAGTCCGATCCTCACGAAATATTGCATGGATGTGGGGTTATGGTCAGAATAGAAGTCTATTGAAAAGAAAATTTTCCTGACTTTGCTCTTGCTCTACACCTCACAATTATGGACCAATTGACGTGGAGGTTAGCATGAGGCTAGAGCTTAGGACAGAAGCCTTCGTATTTAGATGGTCATCGGGTTATATTTAGTGGGTGAAAAATACCATAACATTTGTGTTAAATAAAATTCAAATTTTCCATTAAACCGCGAATATTTTTAATACCGGCAAAATCACAAATAGTAGAAAGGTCAATTCTGACCGTTACATAGATGCCGATAGTAAATATATCGGATGTGTATAGCGAAATATATACAATGTGTATATACAATGGAATAGGATGGTAGCTAGAATGCTTATATCTCAAGAATGCCTGGACCGATTTTGACAAATTTTGTCAATTCAGAATGCCCTCTTGGCATAAAAGTATAAAATCCAAAAAAAAAATCGCATCAAAAGATGTCAATAATGATGTTAATATAGATTTTGTAGAATTATGTGATATATTTTTTTATATTTTTTATCGCATGAGATTTTTTCAATTTGAATTATAATATTCTAGTAGTACTTTTTCATCTTACAACACAGGTTGGAGTTATTATATACAGACTGCAATTATCGTCCGATCCTCACAAAAATTTGCATAAGGGTAGGGTAGGGTCTCAGAAGGGCTAGGTATATTGTTTTTAAAGATGTCCGCAATATATTTAGGGGTTGAAATGAACCAACAAATAAAAATGTTCCTGTTTTCAGCCATCATAGAGGTCTCAAATAGAAACCAAAGGACACGAAATAGAGATAGAATAGACCACTACTTTTGTGCGATAAAAATACCAAAATTTCCATTCCACCGAAACGCTGAAAACAGCAAACCCAAAATACGCAAAAAGTGATCTTCTGGCTTTTTTTCTGCTAATTTTGTTGACGAATCTAGCCAAATATCGTAGACAAGCAAATCATATAGATAAGTCAAAATTTGGAGATGCAGTAGGGCCTCTTGCTTTTGGAGATGTTGATATTTAGAGGTTTAAATGAACCAAAACCAGAAAAAATTTCCTAATCACACAATTGAAACCAATCGACACGAAATTTTGCATGAGAAGAGAGTTAAGGACAGGGAAGAAGTAAAATATTGCGCAAATGTCACTTTGCAATAATATCTGGACAGTGCTCTATGACATAATTTCAAAAGCGAAATCTTCCAAAAAAAATTTGGACATAATGGGGTGTCGTGTTGTCGTGTTGTAGGGTATCACATGGTTGGCCCCGCACGACTATAGCCTTTGCTTTCTGGTTTTAAATATGTTTGAAATTGGAGTTAAACTCTAAATGCTTAATATCAGGTAGCTATACACACGAGGACCAATGTACATCATTTTCAATATAAATTTTCCATACTTTCCATACTTTTTTATGATATTGCGATTTATATATCTAAATTTTTTCCTGATAGTCAAAGATAGCTTTATATCTTCTCAGTGATCATGACACATCAAAAGGATATTATTATTATATTGGATTGTTTTTTGTACCCTCATCCATGTGGCTAGAGAGGGTATATATCATTTGATACGGTTAAAAAGTGACTCATCGAAATAACGGTTTTAGATCCCAGGTTTCTTTGGACCGAGACCGTTTTAGAACATTTAAGTCTAGGGGGTGTCCATCCTTCTGTCTAACTGGTACGCACGAAGAGAGTATCCGATTTGGTCCAAACTTTGTATATATATTGTGTTCAAACAAAGATCGAGTTCGAAGATGGACAATATCGGTCCACTTCTTCTATTGCCTCTCGCACAAAAGGTCAACATTTTCAAAGTAAATAAACTACCTCCTAGAACGGGAAAGAATTTTGTGCAAACCTTACAATTCTCAATATTTTTGTCATTGTCAGATCAGGTGCGAATAAGAACAATATTGACCCGTTCTATCAAGCACAAGGAGTTAAAATATGAAATAACTCGTATAAAATATGAAATAAGTGGTCGATTGTCTTCAAATTTCTCAAATCTCAATATTTCTATCAACATACACAGGTCTACTCCTTCTGGTACCTCCACAGCAACGGGTCAAAATTTTGACCATAGGAGAAAACGAGGCTCGTAAAACGCGAAATGATCACCGGATTCTTTCGAACTCGTCCTTCTTAATATTTCTATCAGCACAAGATCTGTTATAAAGGTGCTAGAGATCCATCAATTCTTCTGGTACCTCCCCAACAAAGGGTCAACATTTGGAATATCCATGGAGCTCATAAAACGTAAAATTAACATCTGATTCCATTCATACTTGGTACATCTGAATATATCCATAAAAGATCTGTTATAAAGGTGGTACAGATCGGACCATTTCTTTTGGTATCTCCCCAAATTGGGGTTCAAGATTTTTGAAAAACTAAACGCTCAAAGAAGCGATATAAGCATCTCACTCTCTTCACATTTCAGACATCCAAATATTTTTGCTAACGCAAGATCTGTTGGGAAGATGATATTTATCTGCCAACCCCTTCTGGTACCTCACCCACAAAGGGTCGCAATTTCCATAACTAATATCTTTCATAACTTGCGAAACATGTTGGCGATTATTAAGAACTTGCTATATCTAAATATTTCTCTTAATCTGATATGAATATTAAATTTATCTTCAAGTTCTGAACATACCAATATTTGTATCTGTATTAGATGAAGTATGAAAATGGAATACTTCGGTCCGCTAAATCTGTTACCTCACACATATGTCCACATTTTCCAAAAATTTGCACATATCTCATATAAAGTATAGGAAGTATAGTCTACATCTGGCACGTTGTAATATTTAGACTTAGGTCAGATACGAATTGGTCAATATTGGCCAACTGCTTCGGGACCTGCCCCGGTAAAGATTCAACAGTGTGAATAATCATAACTTGTTTTATTGAAAATTTGCCAAATAGATTCACATTTTGATATAATCCCGCCAAAGTGTTTGGCGGTTATAGTAATATTTTTTACAATAGTTTACTGTGAATTGGCAGTTTGGTTTCCCTAAGGATAGAAAATATCGTTGCAAAGAACTGTCTATATATGATGTTAAATAATTTTTTCAACAGAATTATTCTAATCTTTGTATTTGAAATTCGTAATAGGCACCGCCTACGCTGGTGGATAACTGCCTATAAAGGTCCATGTTTTGTTATGGCCCTATACAACTAAAACACCTGATTTTTACATTTTACAAGTTCCTTTCAAACTAAAGGTTCGGCCCGGCCTAATTTAGATAGTTTTGTAGTCTTCAAATAGACTTAAAAATATTTCAGTTTGATGTTTACCAAGGGTGACCAGGGCCAAAAGTCATCAAACGTGGATTTTTTAAAGAATATTTTTTCAAGGATTAAAGCGTATATTTTTTAAGGAATATTTTCTCAAGGATTAAAGGACCAATCAAAAGTGGACTTTTTAAGGAATATTATTTCAAGAATTAAAGGACCAATCAAACGTAGATGTTGTAAGGTATATTTTTTAAAAGATTAAAGGACCAATCAAACGTGGACTTTTTAAAGAATATTTTTTCAAGGACCACAGGACCATATTTTTTCAAGGACCAATCAAACGTGGATTTTTAAAGAATATTTTTTCAAGGACCACAGGACGTGGATTTTTTAAAGAATATTTTTTCAAGGACCACAGGACGTGGATTTTTTAAAGAATATTTTTTCAAGGACCACAGGACCATCAAACGTGGATTTTTTGAAGAATATTTTTCAAGGACCACAGGACCATCAAACGTGGATTTTTTAAGGAATATTTTTCAAGGATTCAAGGACCAATCAGACGTAGATTTTTTTAGAAATATTTTTCAAGGATTCAAGGACCAATCAAACGTGGATTTTTTAAGGAATATTTTTCAAGGATTCAAGGACCAATCAGACGTAGATTTTTCTAGAAATATTTTTCAAGGATTCAAGGATCAATCAAACGTGGATTTTTTAAAGAATAGTTTATCAAGGATTTTCAATCAAACTTGGACTCTTTAAAGAATATTTTTTCAAGGACTACATTACCATGAAACGTGGATTTTTTAAGGAATATATTTATAAGGATTAAAGGACCAGGAATATCTTTTCAAGGATTAAAGGACCAATCAAACGTAGCTTTCTTAAAGAATATTTTTGTCAAGGACCAAAGGACCAATCAAACGTGGAAAGAATATGTTTTCAAGGATTAAAGGACCAATGAAACGTGGAAATATTAAAAAATATGAAACGTGGAAATTTTAAAGGATTAAAGGACCAATCAAGCGTGGACTTTTTAGAGAATATTTTTTTAAAGATTGAAGGACTAATCAAACCTGGAAATTTTAAAGAATATTTGTTTAAGGACCAAAATTGCAAATTTAAAAATTTTTAGGAGCGCTTGAAAGTATGCTACGACAATGTTAACTATGAAATCTAACACAACTTTGTTTCTCACATGCTCCGAGGATATTTTTATTCCTATAAATAATTATTTAAATAATTTGCTCCATAAATAGTTTTCAAATATGTATGAGTGCATTTTTTTCAAATCCTTTACAGGCAATTTAAATCATGCCATGGCATGATTTCCTCTGGAGGCGGACATTGACAAGTGTCTGTGTGTTCCAGTGTTGGTGGTGTTGCAGTGTTGTGTGGGTTGTTGGCTGGGCCTTGTGTCCAGCCATGAAGTGTTCGGTGGTCCTATCCAGTGTTGGTGTTTTGGTTTCGATGGTTTTATTTGGGGGCGCGGGAGGATAAAAAACATACCTTTTGAACTCCGCCGTTTGAGGACCGATGTTGTTGTTGCTGCTGCTGCCGTTGTTGTTGTTATTGAAGTTCCTAAAGCATTTGTCAATGTCGACGCCGTTGAAGGTGCTGTTGCTGCTGCTGGAGAAGATGATGCCGTTGAAGTTGAGTTATTGAACGCCCTGGGCGTTGTACAATGTTCTGATAACATCAAAGTGATCCCAAAACCCAAAGAAAAAAAAATGGAATTGAATTTGAACAATTTTGTTTTGTAATTTTAATTTCTATCGGAATTCGTTCTCTGTTTGTTTGAAATTGTTGACAGGAATTTCTTAGGCTTAGTGGTTATTTTCATTATTTTTGGTATTAATTAAAGTTTTTATTTTATTTTTTAGTGGTTAATAAATTCTGATTTAGCCATTGCGAGGCTCAGCATATTTTTTTGTAGCTCCTGTGTTATTGAGGTTTGGGGGCGGTGAAATAAAACACAAAATTAGGAAATTTTAGTTGCAAAGCAAAGGCATTAGGCATGGGTTTTGGAGGGGCAGGATTTTTTTACTCCAGGTTTCGTATTTTTTTCTAATTTAGAATTGATGGCGGATTGAAGCATCAGCGTATTTTTTTTTTGTTATTTTTTTTTTTTTTTTGGTTTGAGTAGCTATAGCGGAATAGAGCCTCACGCACACAATACACACTTCAATTTTTTTCTCTTCTCACTTTCCTTTGATTAGTATTTTTTCACTTGTCTTCTTTTTTTTGTATATTCTTCTTTGTTTTACTTCTTTATTTTTTTGTTGTTTTTGGTTGGCCTCTGAACACCCCCCACCTTGACTCTCAATGTGCAGGAGTTTGGTTGTTGTTACTTTTACTTTTTTCGTTTGTTTCTTTGCCACGATGTTTGTTTCTTTAATTCTATTTTTTCTTAACTTGTTTCACATGTTTCGTTGACGTTTATGGGATTTTCGGAGAGTGTGTGTGTATGTTTGTCTGTGTGTGTGTGTGCGTGAAAATTGCCTTCAAAATAAACTCAAAGAAAGAAAAGTAGCAGCAATAATGACAGCGGCAATATAAGCTAAATAACGGGATACACACCGTGCGTGTGTATGTGTATTTATTAACTACTCACTCACTCACTCGCTCGCTGGCTGACTGCCTGGCCACAACTTATTTTGTTTTTTGGCTACTCCGAACTTTAATTTTCCAATTCAATTTTCCATTTATTTCTTTCACTTCTTTATTGCTGTTGTTGTTGTTATTTTTTGCAGGAAATTTTCACTTTCTCTAGGCCAACACACCGAACTTTTTGTTTCATTTTTAATTTTTCCACCGAAAAGAAAAACGAACAGAATTTCACTTAAATTTTCCTCTTGACATTCCTTGGCTCTTGACGCACACACACCGTCTCTCTGCGTTGCCCCCCAACAACGGTTGTAGAACACTCTCACTCTTGTTATTCGTTGTTGTTGTTGCTGCTGTTGGTTCAATGTAAATGGGTGTATGTTTGTGTGTGTGTTGGTAGTATTTGTTGTTTTTGCTTTGTTATCTTTCACCAAATCACCGTTAACCGTTTACTTTTGTTCTCATAGGTCCGCAATCTTTGAAATACCGTTAAGTACTAAACTCTCCCAGGCTTTTGAGGGCAGCGTCTGGCGGCCAGTGTTTCGTTCAGTTCTCGTTGTTTCGTTATGTTTTGGGCTTTTACTTTCTTTTCTTCGATGGGAGCTTCGATGGGTCTGCAGCTGTTGAAGTTTTCCCCACAAGTATTACAAAGTTTTCAAGGGGGGTAGAGCTTTTTTCAGACACAAAAAGGAAAAATAAACTTGGGAAAAGCTTTTTACGTCATTGAGCGAAATAGAATGGTTAGGGATGGTAAAAAAAGCGATAACATGAATGCAGGATCCATAGGTCATCTGATGTGGATTTTTTAAAGAATATTTTTTTTAAGGACCAATCAAACGTGGATTTTTTAAAGATTATTTTTTCAAGGACCAATCAAATGTGGATTTTTTAAAGAATATTTTTTAAGGACCAATAAAAACGAGGATTTTTTAAAGAATATTTGTCAAGGAATAATAAACGCAAATTTTTTAAAGAATATGTTTTAAGGACCTTAAATGAACGTTTATTTTTCAAAGAATATTTTTTCAAGGACGAAAAGATCATCAAACGTGGATTTTTCAAAGAATATTTTTTCAAGGACGAAAAGATCATCAAACGTGGATTTTTTAAAGAATATTTTTTCAAAGACCAAAGGACTTCCAATCGTGAATTTTTTAAAGAATATTTTTTCAAGGACCAATCAAACGTGGATTTTTTAAAGAATATTTTTTCAAGGACCAATCAAACGTGGATTTTTTAAAGAATATTTTTTCAAGGACCAATCAAACGTGGATTTTTTAAAGAATATTTTTTCAAGGATCAAAGGACCAATCAAACGTGGATTTTTTAAAAAATATTTTTTCAAGGCCCAATCAAACGTGGATTTTTTTCAAGAATATTTTTTCAAGAACGAATCAAACGTGGATTTTTCAAAGAATTTTTTTTTTCGAGGACCAATCAAACGTGGATTTTTTAAAGAATATTTTTTCAAGAACCAATCAAACGTGGATTTTTTAAAGAATATTTTTTCGAGGACCAATCAAACGTGGATTTTTTAAAGAATATTTATTCAAGGACCAATCAAACGTGGATTTTTTAAAGAATATTTTTTCAAGAACCAATCAAACGTGGATTTTTTAAAGAATATTTTTTCGAGGACCAATCAAACGTGGATTCCTTAAAGAATATTTTTTCTAGGACCAATCAAACGGGGATTTTTTAAAGAATATTTTTTAAGGACCAATCAAACGTGGATTTTTTCAAGAATATTTTTTCAAGAACCAATCAAACGTGGATTTTTTAAAGAATATTTTTTAAGGACCAATCAAACGTGGATTTTTTAAAGAATATTTTTTCAAGGACCAATCAAACGTGGATTTTTTAAAGAATATTTTTTCAAGGACCAATCAAACGTGGATTTTTTAAAGAATATTTTTTCAAGGACCAATCAAACGTGGATTTTTTAAAGAATATTTTTTAAGGACCAATCAAACGTGGATTTTTTAAAGAATATTTTTTCGAGGACCAATCAAACGGGGATTTTTTAAAGAATATTTTTCAAGGACCAATCAAACGTGGATTTTTTAAAGAATATTTTTTCAAGGACCAATCAAACGTGGATTTTTTAAAGAATATTTTTTCAAGGACCAATCAAACGTGGATTTTTTAAAGAATATTTTTTCAAGGACCAATCAAACGTGGATTTTTTAAAGAATATTTTTTCAAGGACCAATCAAACGTGGATTTTTTAAAGAATATTTTTTCAAGGACCAATCAAACGTGGATTTTTTAAAGAATATTTTTTCAAGGACCAATCAAACGTGGATTTTTTAAAGAATATTTTTTCAAGGACCAATCAAACGTGGATTTTTTAAAGAATATTTTTTCAAGGACCAATCAAACGTGGATTTTTTAAAGAATATTTTTTCAAGGACCAATCAAACGTGGATTTTTTAAAGAATATTTTTTCAAGGACCAATCAAACGTGGATTTTTTAAAGAATATTTTTTCAAGGACCAATCAAACGTGGATTTTTTAAAGAATATTTTTTCAAGGACCAATCAAACGTGGATTTTTTAAAGAATATTTTTCAAGGACCAATCAAACGTGGATTTTTTAAAGAATATTTTTTCAAGGACCAATCAAACGTGGATTTTTTAAAGAATATTTTTTCAAGGACCAATCAAACGTGGATTTTTTAAAGAATATTTTTTCAAGGACCAATCAAACGTGGATTTTTTAAAGAATATTTTTTCAAGGACCAATCAAACGTGGATTTTTTAAAGAATATTTTTTCAAGGACCAATCAAACGTGGATTTTTTAAAGAATATTTTTTCAAGGACCAATCAAACGTGGATTTTTTAAAGAATATTTTTTCAAGGACCAATCAAACGTGGATTTTTTAAAGAATATTTTTTCAAGGACCAATCAAACGTGGATTTTTTAAAGAATATTTTTTCAAGGACCAATCAAACGTGGATTTTTTAAAGAATATTTTTTCAAGGACCAATCAAACGTGGATTTTTTAAAGAATATTTTTTCAAGGACCAATCAAACGTGGATTTTTTAAAGAATATTTTTTCAAGGACCAATCAAACGTGGATTTTTTAAAGAATATTTTTTCAAGGACCAATCAAACGTGGATTTTTAAAGAATATTTTTTCAAGGACCAATCAAACGTGGATTTTTTAAAGAATATTTTTTCAAGGACCAATCAAACGTGGATTTTTTAAAGAATATTTTTTCAAGGACCAATCAAACGTGGATTTTTTAAAGAATATTTTTTCAAGGACCAATCAAACGTGGATTTTTTAAAGAATATTTTTTCAAGGACCAATTAAACGTGGATTTTTTAAAGAATATTTTTCAAGGACCAATCAAACGTGGATTTTTTAAAGAATATTTTTTCAAGGACCAATCAAACGTGGATTTTTTAAAGAATATTTTTTCAAGGACCAATCAAACGTGGATTTTTTAAAGAATATTTTTTCAAGGACCAATCAAACGTGGATTTTTTAAAGAATATTTTTTCAAGGACCAATCAAACGTGGATTTTTTAAAGAATATTTTTTCAAGGACCAATCAAACGTGGATTGTGGACCAAAGGACCATCAAACGTGAAATTTTTTCAAAGACTAAAAAGAACAATCAGACGTGGATTTTCTAAAGAATAATTTTTCAAGGACTTAGTAGCAAGGACTGGAGTGGAGGTTAACAAAAAAATGTCGGAAATATCATAACACATTTTGGAATTAGTATAGATTTGTTCGAATTGGTCACCTTTGGCACGAATTATGGTCTTCAAACGGCCAATGAAACCGTCACATCTGACCGAATGTTGCTCTGCGTTATTTTGGTCCATTGCCGGCGAAGCGCTTGCTTGAGGTGATCGACACTTTGGTATTTTTTAGTGCAAACCTTGCTTTTGAAAATACTCCAGACACAATAGTCCAACGGATTAATATCCGGAGATTTTGGTGGCCATTGTGCGCTAAAAATGAAGGGAGGAATCTCAGTTTTTAACTATTCTTGGGTGACGCGTGCTGAGTGTCCAAGATCTGCGGCCATAATGTTTGCATGCCGAAGGGTTTAATACACCCTCCAGAATATGTTCGCAATAATGTTCGGTCGATTAATACGAGCGGAGAGAGGAGAGCGACCATCGGCTGTTATATCGGCCCACACCATCACCATGGTCGGCGCTTGAGTTCTGGTGGCCAACCGAAGGTGCACATTTTCAGCTGACCTCTTTGGCAAGTAAACAAGATCATATTGTTTGTTTACAAACTGCTGGACAACGAATGTTTTCTCATCGGAGAAAATCAAATTCGGCATGTCACCACTTTCGGCCAAGCGAAGCAACTCTAGAGCTCTTGTAGTCTATTTTCTGTTCTTTCTGTTGCGATATAAGTTCTTGCACTTTTTGGAATTTCAATGTCATTACCCCGAGCTCATTTTTAATATTTACCGAATGAAATATTGCGATATGTTCAGCTCACGAGCCATTTTTCGGCCACTGCGACGCGGGTTTCGATCAAGTCGCTTCTTTACTTTTCGAACCATTTCTGCTGATGTTGCTGTTTTCTTGCGTCCACTTCCTTGACGTCGGGCTACGCTACCAGTACCAGTATCACGGTCACGAGCGATGGTACAAGACACAAAAGATTTATTCACATTTAAATGCTGAAGTACTCTAACGTTAGCCACTTGTGGTTTTCTAGCCAAATATAAAGAAATCACACTATCACGCTTGAATTCCTTCACGAATAACTTTTTTTTCTGGAAAATGTTCACCAAAATGCTTTTGTATGCTTGTAAACAATATAATGATCTGTCACTGGAATAATTTTAACAGCTGTCGGACGAGTCTCTTAGAAATGGCAGCAGTCTGAAGTTGGTTGCATTTTTTTTCATCTCACCCTGTGTATGGGAGGTATAACTCTATCTGAACCGACATTCACCAAATTTTATGTACTTGCTTCTATACTCGTGTCGAATGTGTTCAAATTCAGGTCATTTGGACTGATATTGGCCATTTGCTACATATATGGGGCTATATCTAAATTTGAACCGATTCTTTGTTTGTTAAATTTCATCTCAATCCGATAACAAATGCGACCTGCAGTTTGTTCACAAAAATATATTTACAGAAGGACGGACGGACGGACGGACGGACGGACAGATGGACTGACATGCATAAATCGGCTCAGAAAGTGATTCTATGATTCTATGATCCTCAAAAGTAACTATGGGTGTATATCGCTTCCACATGTTATATACAAATGCATTAAGACATAGTACCCTGACCACTATGTGGTGTGGGGTATAAAATTGCCAACAGAAAAATTTTATTTAGGAGATATTTTCATTGAACAACAATCTAGCCCCCAGGTTTTTAAGATATCCAAAATTCACGATATCGATTACAAAATTATCGTTTTGACCCAAAATTTTTTTTGCAGGGATTTCGTCGAATTCAGCGATTTACTCTTCCCTCACATTAGGAGTAGGAGCCAAAATTGAGAACAATTCA